GTTGGGGTAGATGCAATTGATGTGGAGTAGTGATGGGTTGCCGCCAAGATTGTCCTATGCTATGCTTCCATGCCTCCGACATTTGGATCAATCCTTAAAAGACAGACCCATGTTGAGACCATGATCATCACTTAGGGGATGTAACGATCTAACGGTGTAGAACTTTTCTCTGTTTATAGTAAATTGATTTTTTTTCCTGGTCAAGAGTTGTAGATTAAATTAAAGTTTTCTTGGCTATGTAAAATAGTAAAAAAAAAATTTTGGGGAAAATAGTAAAATAGTTGATTATTGAGAATGTTTGCTCTAATCCTCTAAAGAATATGGAAAATTGAACTAACTGCATACGCTAAATTTAGGGATATTGTGGTGGACCAAAACCATGCGGACTAGTACTGTCTAGCCTGAACAGGTTGGTCTATGGACTTCTTGGTAAATATTCGGGGAAAAAATTCGGATTAGACTCAACCCGTTAAAGACTTGAACTTGCCAAGGACTTGGTTGAACCGGGCCAAATTCATCATCTATTCAGTGTCACGAGTGTGAGACTATAAGTTTACAACTTACCACCAATCGACAATAAGTGAAGAGATTCACTATCTTTTGCATACATTGTTGAATCATCTTCTATATATTTTATATTAGAATAGGACCCAGGTAAATACGCGGGTAAACATATTTAAAATTATTTATATCAAAATTGAAGTTTTAATTAATAATCCGTTAAATTACAAAAAAAAATTAAAATATTAAATATGGATCTTAAACCATTAAAGTTTAATTTATATCTTAATTCTCATGTCCTAATTCATATTATGCATACCTAAAAATATATATACATAAGTGGAATTCAAATCATATTTCTAATAACAAAAAAATATTATACACATTATAAATTTATATTAACTATATGATAAAATCTTATAACAAATAAAATATTATAGAGTTCCATCATAAAAAATAATTTTATGTGAATAATCTCATAAATCTATGATTGATAAATGTCATTTTTTTCAA